CATCACCACCACCACCACCATCCCCATAACCACCACTACCATCACCACCACCACCATTCCCATCCCCACCACCACCACCACCACCATCACCACCACCACCATCCTCATAACCACTACCACCACCACCATCATCACCACCATCATCATCCCAAGCAGCACCATCAGCATTGCCCTTTTCCACGAGCTGTGCGTCGTGTTTACAGCGGACATATTTATCCCCTCGTTACGTTGGCGCACGTGTCTAATTGTTGTGAGCTGCCTTCCCTCGTCACACGGGCCTACATCCCTGCCAAGGAGGTATCGCGCAACTAAAGCAAAATGTGTCACGGCGTAGTGGAACCAAAGATAGAACAGCCTACCGTAGGGTATAGTATCTGTGGTGGAATCAGGCACTCGTCCATTTTTTGATATATGAAGTTATTGGTACTCGTACCATTATAAAGATTGTTCATTTGTCTTGCTTGTGAGGGAAAAAAATGTACCCATCTATCTTGAATGGAAGTCGAGATATTTGCCATTGAAAAAGGGTGGGATCTCCCGGTCTTGTAGGTGAAATTAGCCAGAAAATGGCCGCCAAAGTCTGGTAACATCTATAGATTGAGAGTCCTTGAAAAATTAAATGAGTTGTTATATAGACATTAAAAACAGGCAGAAAATTGACTATTTTTTCGATTTCATTATTATGACGAGCGCCTGGTTTCACCACGATGCCTCATAAATACTACTTCCTCCTTCAACCCTCTCCGTACGTCGTGTTTTACTATCGCATCCATACGACGTGGGGAACTCTGTGCTACCACTTTCCAAGAGGAAATTAAATATACTCGTTAGTCCAACCCGTAAACTTTGTATAGCAGTCGGTCAAAATCTTTTTTGAGAAATACTGGAAGTTTCGAAGGGATTTTCGCTCTATAAGTATGTAGTATAGTATGTAGTATAGGGTTTTACGGCGCTCTCTATAAATATTCTAAAATATGAAGAATTCAACCCCGGGAGTACAAAACGACCCCAGAGCGTACGGAGAGGTTAAAGCTGAGAATGTCGAACATTCGCTGAGTCTGACAAGGGAATCTAAATGACAGAACTGGATCTTATTGGATCTTATTGGATCTCCCTCGGAATCTCTTTTGTGTCGATTTTTATAGCGTGTAGCATTCGCACAAAATAATGTGGATTAAACTGCTTTGTATGATTTTGCTACACTCAATCTGGCTAGGCTCTTTTTTTTTTTTTTTTTTTTTTGGAATGACGAGTTCCTTTCTTTCGAGATACCCAATATTGTGGAATGTCATATCACCCTTCTCGACCTGTTAAAAATGTCTTCGGTATGTATATCTAAAGCTACATACATTTGTCGTTGATAACTGAGGTTTCTGAGTTTTCGTAAGAGTTTTACGGCATTTGCAGCACAATAAGGTCATATTTATAAGTGTCGAAGAATAGAAGTATTACAAGAGAGTAACATACGCAAAAAAAGAAGGAGGAGAGATAAGGACGATAGATGTTTGATAGGAAAGAAGGAGCAAACCACACCAGCGCACCTGCCAACCACCGACGTAACTGGTTTCTTTGACAAAAATTTAACAAAAAACAAAAAGGAATTGTAACTTTAACAAAAAACACTCCAACTGTGGGTGGTTGGAGGGTGCTCTGGTGTAGTTGGCTCCTTCTTTCCAATAAAAAAACCTATCGTCTCTATCTCCCCTCTTTCTTTCTTTCTTTTTTTTTTTTTTTTGGTGATTGTTACTCTCTTGTAACACCTCTAATATTCGACACTTATATGACCTTTTTGTGTTGCAAGTGCTGTAAAAACTCTTACTAAAACTAAAACAAAAAACAAAATTACAAAATAATCAGTTTTCGCCTCCTTACTAAAAAGGAAATGTAACTA